ATAGAAGTATTAATAGAGATGATTTATGTTGTATTTTTACTAATAAGTTACGTGTGACAATTCGAGTTTAATGAAAAGATGAACTCATGTTATTATAATAGGTATAGGTAGTATATTTCTAAGGGTCAACGTTCCCCAATAGTAGAACAACTCAAAAACATAGTTAATTTCAAGTTCTTCAAATCCGGATTTGGAATCCAATCAGTGGTTTATTAACACGACCAATTACATAACAGAATTAGCATGATGTGAAACTGGTTTTTTTTTACTTACCATTTTGGGCGTGTTCTTCATCAGTGCGGATCTAAGTGGACTGTGGGTTGGGGACAACTGGCCACACTTTATATCCAGTTCTTGAAGAATGTCATGTCTGGACTTCATTCCAGTACATTGCCACGTCAAGGACTAAAGGAGACATTGACACTGTAACATTATTACGCAAACGTGGGAAGGACGGTTCACACTGTGTCAGCTGAACAGCGTCATTATTCGCTCCTGTTTTATTGAATGGGATTGGAGTCGCTAGTGGCAGTATTTTTACCCTGTATGTAGGTTTGAGACTGCATCGTAGTTGCAGTTGTTGCACACCTGGCCAGAGTGACTCGGCATCGCTCATCACATGACGCAGAAAGTTTTGCGACTTTAAAACTCTCAATTAAACTTGCAGTATGGCACCATTACGCAGTTTTCAGACTAATTAATAAATATTGTGGATAATCCCTGAAAATATGCTCTCTACTGCTATCTACTTTGTTGCTGTTAAACGTTATTGTTAACTGTAAGGTTTCAAAAACGAATCAAAACTAAACTTCTTAGCGCAAATTCTAATGACGAAATAAATGCAAAATACCCTTGATCTTTGCAAATTTCCAATTTTGTTAGTTACAAACAACTCCATGCCATTTTGTGAACATGCGGCCATCTTTTATTTTCCACATAAAACACTTTTATGGGATTGACATGAATAGAAAGATAGGACATCATTATTCCTTATTATTATTCAATACAGTGTTAAGGATCCGTCAGATGGGGTATCATTTATTAATGAATTTATGGTTGACTATAACCCATAATAATTGCCGCCCTATCGTTTTTACTCCTAATTTAATCGATGCTACTCTCTTACTTGTAATTATTACTAACGTTAATATATAAATCTTTTATTTGTCTCATGATCTTTTGATCAGAACTACTAAGTCTATACGACTTCGTAATGCTAACTCTCTCTTAGGAAAGAATAAACAATGAGTGTTTCTTAAGCACCTAAACAAAGAGTATGTACACCATCGTAATTAAGGGTCATACGAGCCTTTAGCATTAAATATATTGTTCACTTATGATCAAGTGCACCGCCAACCAATTACCCACTCAATTACAACGTATTTAAGCCTCTAATTAACTTAACACTGAGTGCAAGAGTTTTATTCTCTTTATTAAAATTATAGCTTATAAGTTTGAGAAGCCCTGTAATAATAAAATGTAAACTACCATACTCACTGTTTCTTTTTAATCTCACCCGGTTTTATAATAGGGCTGATATTTATATTAATGTTCCTCGCCATTCAGGTCTTTTAACGAGCAAGCTCTTTCAATGTAACTGTTTTTATGCGTATTATATTGATGATGCTCTATTTTGTCTGATTGTTTGTGTGAAGTATTTTTTATGGTGAAGGAAGTCTTGGTATATTAATTTTTTAAGCAGAAGGCCAATAGGAGTTTGTGTGTTTAATACAGACACAATCTTTTGTGTTCAGATAACATTAGTTTAGTTATAAACAAGACTACAAAATAAAGTGGAGGTGGTTGAATGTGGAAGGCGTATTCTGTATAATGGAGCACCAAAGAAGAGGCTTAGGACCAGCTAAGGACCTCTACATGTTGATAATGATGATGATGAAGAAAAGAAGAAGTTCTTCTCTTCAAAACATTCCATTAAAAAAAACTACGGATAAACCAATTAGATCTGACAATATTTTAGATACTTACTTTTAAACAGACTGCCTCGGTGGCCGAGCGGTCGCAAGTGCGAGTACTGGGCAAGGGGTCTTGGGTTCGATTCCCAGGTCGTGCAAAGTATTACTGGATTTCGTATTGGACTCGTAACATTAAATAGTGAAAAGTGGGTGTTAAATAGTACAGTTGCATAAAGTGCTGTAATGTGCACCTCAAAGTATACTTTCGGGGGTAAAAGGCATGATGTTATGTTTAAAACATTCTTCAATTGTGTCAAACATCTTGATGATCTGCCTTTCAAAGTCAAAGTCAAAGCATTTTTTTCAATTAAACCATGGTTTAGTACTTTTGAAACGTCAACAAATACAAAACAAATAATAGTCTGTCAGTCAGTCCGTCAGTGAAACTAGGTGAAGCTAGGTGCTCATTCCAAAAAGTAGATTCGAATGGAGAAGAACGAGCAAGAAACTCCATTCGTTACTCTTTTTAAAAAAGTATGTTCTACAATGTCTCTTCTTCTTTGAAAACAGTACGTATATAAAAAAATAAAAACATTCTCTACGTCTAGGTTATTAGTAAATTAATATGAGTTTAAATTTGTTATAAGGCCGTTACTTTAACCTATTAGACCCTATATTTAATCTCTATGATTTATATCGAAGTTGGCATTCAAAAACCTAAAAAACTAATCGATTCGTCTTCATAACATCGTGTAATATATTATTTTATGTATAGGTGTACATTCTTAATTCAGTTTTTTAATTTGTATAAAGGTGCTCTTAGACTAGAAACTATACTTATTTATATAGACTTTGCAAAAGTATTTGCTGTTTTCATGGAGTACGAATGAATCTAACAATGCGACATAACATTGGTTCATAACTATAACTTGAGAAAAGTTGAATTAAAATTGGGATATTCACATTGAAGAACAACAAAAAGGATTATGAATTTGTTGTTTTACGTTATTTAGTCGTATTTTTATTATTTAATTGTTACTATCATTCTCAGAATCGTGATCAATTTACTATCATTAAGTTCTAGTTCATGGTTCCGCTTATCAATATTCATGTTTTTAAATGAACATCAAGAATGTGCCCTTGAAGAAGATTTCTTTGTATTCTGTAAATATAAACATAAATTATATTGGATATAAAACAGAGTTCTTATTACATTTACTTGCCATTAGGCTGGTGGCCACAAGCGGGGATACTCACCAAATCAAATTAAGGGTAAAGAATAGCGTTAATTTCGACTTTTTCAAATATTGTCATATTTTTTATTTTCGTTCAATATTAGTCTCATTTATAAACTAGCAAATAAGTAATAGATACTGTTATATCCTCTGTGAAGTTATTTCTAATTGATGGAGTCTTTAATCCGATGAGTGTAATCTTTACGTTATACATACGTATAACATAAATAGTGAAAAGTGGGTGTTACATTGTGCAGTGGCATTAAGTGCCTTAATGTGCCTTTTATTCCCGAAACGGTAGGCACAGGTGCAAATTACAGCACATGTAACACCCACTTTTCAATATTTATGTCTATTTAGTCCCATGTAATAGGGGCCTATTGCCATATAGCACAATTCCAGGCTCCGTGCTACTACTGATAAATTAAACTTAGTAATACTTTGCGCAACCCGAGAATTGGGCAGGAAATTATATTTATGTATGGAACTAAGTTTGTATAATAATACACCGTTATTCTAAGGAATTTAATAAATATTTTGTTTTGAGGAGTTGTCATCTCTTCTCATCTTCTTCATATGTTTAAATAGTTGATTTCAATTGTCAGTAAATCGATGATAGTATTGTGGGAAAATCTTTACTTCTCACTTTCCCAACAGTGTAGCGACTACTCCGGGTGGTAAACTTGCTGATATTGGTGTCAGAATACCAACCACACTACCGATTGGCTGAAACAAATACAAAACAATGTCATAATATGAATTAACATTAGTAATATTATTTTGGTAGTCCTCTTTGGAATTACAACAATTATACATTTTTAAATGTTCTTTGTGTAATAATAGTAATCTCTATAAATAAAAATGAGTTTCCATTCGTTAATCTTGCTAAAACTCGAGAACGGCTCAACCGATTTGGGTAATTTTGGTCATGAAATGTTTGTGGAAGTCCAGAGAAGGTTTAAAAAATTGACAATAAAAATTGTAGGCGGTACGAAGTTTTGCCGGGTTAGCTAGTTTAAAATATAAATATTTGTGTATAATCTGCCTGAATCTTGATAACGTGAAAACTCTTATAAATTCAAACCCTAGGGAACAAAATTAATTATGGCAGCTACACTTAGTACCTACGTAATAAAATACTGAATATAAAGAACTATTTTAATACATTAACTTTTGTCTTCGAACTATAATAATATAATTATTAAAATAGTTCCTTTAGGAATAAAATGGGGTTGAAATAAAAAGAAATGTTTAAATGAATATTTAATTGAATAATAGTGATACATAGTGTAGAAAGTATTGTAGACTGTGTACATGTACAATGTACATAGTCCACAATATTTCTGAATACGTTAATCTACCAATTGCTAGTTTCGTTTCATTTAGTTGAATGAAATCATGTATGTTATACTGAAGAAATATTACTGTGTAATGGTCTTCAAAGTATTATAAAAGTTAATTTACTTTCTGCTTATCCAATAAATGGTTTCTTACTGTTTTTCACATGGGTGCAATATGCATGTAGGTATACAAACTGTCCTTAAAATCACTAGATCTACCTAGATCTATTAAAAAACGCATCAAAATCCGTCGCGTACTTTTAAAGATCTAAGCATACATAGGGACAGACAAATGGCGGATAGCGACTTTGTTTTATACTACTTATGTTATAGTGATACATATTTCCTACAGGTAAGCATTATTGGTGTAATTATAATAAATAAAATTAAGAACGTCTTTACTTTGGTACGACTTTCAATGTATGTGCAATTGCATAGATTTCAGTTGTACGATGGCGTAATAATATGTCATAGTTTTGCTTTAAAATTGTGTGGTAGTAGTCTTCTCATCTTTATTTGCCTAACAATGAAGCTATTGCAGCTGGTGGAAGACCAGGGGATGCTTGAAAACCGGTCATGGTCAGCTGAAACAAACAAGAAACAATATTTAGATCATATTTTAACTAAATAACCAAGAATACTTGAACAACCCGTTAGCGCTTTATCCAAGAATTGTTCTGTCGACGTCTTTTGGGCTAAATTGAGGTAAAAAAAGTTGGACTGTCACAAGTTCATCTTTGACCATGGGTGCTCACATAAAAAACGGGTTTGTACGGGTAGACAAGTACCTACGGGTTTTACCGATCGGCGCAAGTATAAGATTTCAATATAATCTATGCCATTCAGTCAGGCATCACCTGTTTCTTTATAAGTGAGTACTTATAGTGTGGTGGCTGGGGTGCCAGATGCGACAAAAATCCGAAACTTTCATTTAGAATGTGATTTACGAAGACATAAAGGTGTATATAGGTTAGATATTCTTAACCATGTTATGAAACAAAGCGAATTAAGACTAGGTTAGGTTTAACTAGTAGTTATGTCAATTTCTCATTTCACACTCAAGTAACAGCAAATACCGTTAATTAGCCGTTTTATTTGTTCACTGCAAGGTGTCTAGAGCAAATATTTGATCGCTACCAGTAGTGTTGTCATATATTACGTATAGAAGCCTTAATATTTTTACCTTGATATAGAGAAAGTGTTTAATATAAAGAATGCTTCTTATTATCTTCCTGTAATTATTAATTTAAAACTATTTGATAATAGGTACACACATCAATATTGCCTAGCAAATTTTAATTTTTACCTTGTTATATGAAATTCTGTAAATGTTTTGTTTAAACGATTATGTATGAAATTTAAGTTTATATTGTATGATTTTTACTTGCGATACATAAAAAGAGATGCATCAAACATTTTTAATTTAATTTTTTGGTGAATTTTTTATTTTCATGAAATAACAAAAAAGGATTTAATCAAAGGTTTTTAGGTCAGTATTTTCTCCTCTAACATTAATTTTAGAGTTCGCCATCGGTTATTTATGCTCAAAATTAAGTTACCCAAATCGAGCTGTGGTATCACGTCCATAATAGAGCCGCCTTGATATGAGTGGACTTCTTGTGGATTCTGGAGTCGGCTTCGTCTACCAGACCTTTAATTTTCGTGTATCCGGATGAAATACAAACCGAGACTCATCAGAAAAAAGCACTATGAACCATTTCTCGTCACTACATGCGAAATGTAGCCCACGATAGTATTAGTCTCCGCCCGCGATTGCCACGCCGCAAAGCTGGAACCCGAAGTGGTCTGCGAGAATGAAGACCAGCTTCATATAATCTTCTTCTTACAATTTGGTCACTAACCAACAATTGGTGGTCAGATTATAGCCTTTGAACCATTTGCATAGCCGTAATATTGGGTTGCCTCCTAGCGATATTTTGAAGAAAACGGTCCTTGATCGGTCTTGGAGTGTCAATGCGATTTCTGCCTGAATGCCGTCCAGTTACATCGTGACCATAACCGAGAGATTAAACTTTGGCCGGTGTGCAGAGTTTCAGCAACTACAACAACAGCTCTAATCTGACATAACAATAAATGAATGAAAATGTGTAATCACTTTTAATTTTTTTTAACTTTACTGTTTTATTGTAACATGAACTAACTTTTCGACCACCAAATTCGAACAATCGATATTGTCTTGTTTCAAAATGAATTTTTGTTTTTTACTTTTTTGAATTTCGAAAAGGTACTATACAAACGTTTTTTTATACAGTAAATAGTTTTAAGTTAAGAAGTTTTTCATATACCTATAATATCCCTAGACATTGTTAATGTGTGTAGTAGGAAGTTATTTGATAACATAGTTAGTTATAGGACATATCTGCTAAGGAATCGTTTAAATTCAATGTTATTTTTGTAAAAAATGTTGTAACGCTTAACTTTTCACAATAGTTTTTTTAATAGTTTTATTAGTAAGTACGGTATCATAATGTTACTTTTATTTAGATATTAAATGAATAATAAACGTTTTATATTATTAAGTAATTTATTCAATAAAATGATTATGAATAAAGTTCAATTTATTTTTCGAATAACAAAAGATTTAGTCTTTTAATATCAATGAATCGGTCATCAAAAGAAAATCTGTTATACATATGTAAAGTTCGTAGGAACTAGTAATTTAGGATAATTTAATTAATTTGTGACTTCTATATACAGGTACAATTTTCATACATATAAAATGTTTAATTATCTACGTCAGGTATATTATCCTAGCAGCGTAGCCGTCACACTCGGAGACAAAATCCGATTTCGGTCCTGTAATAAGAAATAATAAATAGAGATAGTAATGATAGTCATACTCAACTCTTTTTTTACATATGGCAATGAAAAATTTATATATAACTATACCGTAAAAGGTTCTATGGTATGACGTTCTGTGAACTTTAATACTACTTAGTTCTGAAATTTGTTAGTTCTACCTGGAATGTTATCGATATGTCATAGTCGCATAAATTTATAAACGAAAATGCTTGTAATGAATCTGCAAAAGTGCATCGTAAATGAAATTTTGATCTGCGACGTCTCGTTTGTTACCCAAGAGTCAGTTATACGCACGAGCGTGCAAAATGGAAATCAGAAAGATCCCTTCAAAATCTAATATATTGTTAATTTTCAAGACTCCCGGAAAACATTCCAGGATACCTACATATTTCCTCCTTCATGACCGAAATAGACAATTCTTAGTGCAACTTTTTGTTTAAAACTGTAGAGAAGCATTTATGCTGCTGTGAATAGAATAGTATATAGCGAGAATAATTTATAGTAGGTATTTTGTCTTTGAAACTATGCGTTTATTAAGAGAGAAAAGTATACATACTTCTATATAAACAGTCTCCAAGTAGTAAAATAAGGTACAATAATAATAGACTTACCCCCTAATAAATAGGACTCATAACATAAATAGTGAAAAGTGAGTGTTCAATGTAACACTTACTTTTCACTACAGCAATGGTACAGTGGCATTAACCCCTCGAGCGTCCTTATGAGCGCCCGGTGGATCATAAGAAAAAATGCTCCATGCTGCTCTCTCTTTTATAAAATCTATTATTCATATTTTGTTTTTATTCTGACTGTATTTTTTATTTCTATTGTAATGATCCTTGTTTTCGTGTGCCAATGGCCAAATAATTGCATTTTCTTTCTTTCTTTCTCCAAATATCACGTGTGCACCCGTTGGGTCATAAGGAACGCGGACGCTCGACGGGTTAAGCGCCGTAATGTGCACCTCTGCCTACCACTTCGAGGGAAAAAGGCGTAATCTTATACATGTAATAATAGTGAACTTGAAACAAAAAACTTATTTAGAAAAAAAACGAATTAATTTTTAATGCTGCATCAATAATGAAGGATGATGCTGGTTTGACCTGTATTACTGGTATAATAACAACAATATTACTTAGAAGATATTTAATAATATATACTTACAAAGTTCAAGGTCTACGTCACTCATGTTTAGTGACCTACAGACCAGACCACCTAGATACCTGGTATTAGTATTTTCAATTCACAAAAAACTTTAGTAAATGATATATTTAGATAAATACTCAAAATTTTCCTGCGAATATTTTAAATGCTAAAGACTTATTTTTATAAAATAAACCGGTAAATCAGCAGACCTGATGGTAAGCAATCGGCGACGCCCTTGGATTCCCAACACATCAGAGTTGCTGCAAGTGTGTTACCAGCCTTTTGGTTATTAAGTATTTGAGGCTTTATGGGCATTCGGGATTAGGGAGATTGGTGAGGGGGGTTATTGGGCCTCTGGTAACCTCTTTCATATGACGAAACACATCGCAAATTTTAGAATGTATTTATTTATGAGTATGGTTCAACTATATCCTAGGTACTGAACGAAAGGCATAGAGATAGATTATAGTCTGGAGCCACACGTGGAAGCTAAATTTGTTTTGGTAAAACTATTCTACTTATGGATCAATGGACCAAAACCACTTACTTTAATATAATTTAGAAAGTTTCTTTTTTCAGGGTGTCCGACACAATGTTTGTGTTAAAGCTCTAATATATACCCTCATATTGCATTGATATGAAACTCGTACTTCTTTTTTGTTTTTTTTCTTAAATCTTACGATCTATCTTTTGACATGAGAAGATCTTGAATTTAGTAACCATTTTAGTAAAATACGGTTTTTGTATTTTAGCATGTATAAAACTAGACCCGACATGTTACAGCTTATTTTAAGGCCAACTCAAAAAATTAATGGAACCAAATTTTTGAAATAAAGCATATTTCATATATCTAAAGTAAGATCTGTGTAAATTACAAGAAATCATTTCTCCATAAAAGTGCAGTGGTCAACTTTGAAAGCAAAGCTGCTGCAATTTGTTTCCTAGCTTTTTCCCAATCAGTTTAAGGCAGTGAGATTTTAGATATCAAAATTTTCATTTCATTTATTTATTATACGTGGAGTGATAGCCTCATACCCTCCACACCAGAACCAACAAAAACCAGATTCTTGGCTACATCCGAATTTTGAGTAGTTTTAACGAATGTCATACCTAGATGTTTTTTGTAAATAATAACAACTCTATTTGAGAAGTTAAATAACTTTAACCGTATTTGTGTCGCTGAAGTTGTTGCATAGCAAACACGCAATCAGCCGACAGCTTTTGACATATTCTTCTAGTTACCAATAATGTTACGTTAAATATTAGTTACCTTTTGAATTAATATTTAATACGGATTTACTTACTCCAGTATCTTTTTCTTGGAGATGGTAACCATCTCTGTCAGCACGGTAAATGACGTTAACGAGTCTTCCCTTGGTATCTATGTAAGAGTATGATCCTTGAACTTGAATATATTCATCTTCCTGTCCCTGGTTGAAGACAACGCCACTTTCTTGGCGTTTCAATCCATTGGAAGTCTCGAACCTGTAATGGTGTTACGTGAATTCGTAGTAAAATATTTTTGATACCTCAAAGGGTTAGGGGCAAAAGGTTATTTTAATTAGAATTTTTGTGAGACATGTTAAATTGATTATTATGTTTTAATTTTAATCCAAAGTATGTCACTAAGTCTCGAAATTGAATAACTTGAATGTCTTAACTCCTCACATCAATTAGAATTCAACACTGTTTAGTAAAAACTTTGACAATTACAGAAACAATCACGCTTTAGAAATGACACCTACTTCAGGAAAAAATACTATTAATAAAAACATAAACGTACCTGAAGTTGTAGTTGCCAGCACCATCATTATTATTAACGTAGTCCACTATCTGAGCTTGAGCATCCTCAGGGAGGACGGCTGCCGCAGCAACCGATAAAACTGCGCACGCGATGATTATCCGATTCATTTTGAACAATATTTTTTTTTTACAATACGAACAAGATACTAGCTTATTATACCACAAGGTCAGTAAGCTTCAATTTGAATATACCTTGAAATATAATAATAAAACTTTAGAATTTCTTGATTTTTGTACTCGCATACAAACAACAAATGGCTCAAATCGTACTCTTCTCAGTATTATATACCTCTCTGAAGAAATAATGACAGCCATGAAAATAATTATAGTTTTTGTCTAAGTTAAACTATTGCACAATTTTCTTACTGTATTTTTGTTTTAGCCAACATAACATCGCGCCTTTTATCCCCGAAAGGGTAGGCAGAGGTGCACATTACGCCACTCAATGCCACTGTAAAATGTATCACCCACTTTTCACTAGTAAGTATGTTATGAGTCCCATGTAATAGGAGGTAAACCTATTGCCATATTGGCTAGACTTCCTGCTACTACTGAGATTTGTTTTAAAAATTCAGTAATACTTTTCGCTACCCGGGAATTAAACCCGAGAGTGTGTGAGTGTGTGAGAGTGCCATCCTTATCCGGTAGTGGCACTTGCGACCACTTGGCCAATGTGGCAGTTACTATTGTTAATATTTTTATTAATCATTATTTTTAGTTATCCATAATATCCACTAATCTTTGTCATATAAAAGAAAGTGCCCATAGAAATTAATCGGTTTATTTTTGTAAATGTAGAGTAGGCTGCGTGACGTCACTGCGTCGGAACACGCTGTTAATGAGCAAGAGCCCCTCTATGGCTTGAAACTAGTAGAGCTTTTCTCAATATTTAGGTGAGTAAACCGATGTTTTTAATTAATTAAATGTATCTTGCGATAGTTATTAGGTATTTAATGTTTCCATAATTATTTAAAATTTTGACAGAATTGGTATCAATTGTTTTGTAAGACAATTTATGAGTGGTTTCTATTTATATTTAATTTTTTTACATTATTTCCGTAAATATTTGACGTGTCTGAGTGATATTAATAATACAACTACATATTTTTAAGAAGTTATTTTATTGTGGTAGATTTTACACGTACACGTAAGAGGCAAGTAATCCAGTCTAAATTTTTACCCTAGTACTGCACATTAAACCCCTATGTTCCAATGCAAACTGAATTCAAAACACGTTTTAGTATCGGATAATGCACAATTCATTTTCTAAATGTACGACAATGTATTCTACATTATCACTTATATCGTTATGCACCATGAAGCAAATACAGAATCGGGTCGTTTCCAGGGTATCAAAATAAAAAATCTGATTAGTCCGTCAGTTGGATAATGAAAAAATATTAGACACGTATTTTTTTATCTTCTCGTATTAAGTTGCAACACTTAGATAAAATGGCGCTAAGTTTAGGAGTGGCAGGTTGTTACGACATAACGTGCTACAAAATGCGACACGCTGTGACGTCACACGATATTTCAAATTAATATATCGTCGAAAGTATTTAATTTTGAGAGAAAAGAAATAATACGTGTCTTAAGTTTTAAATTAATGTACCAGACAGACATTAAAATAAAATTTAAGAAACTACCCTATTATGGACACGAAGTTTCTAAAAAGATTGCGTATATCACTAATTGTATGTAAACGTATTATGATATAATAATATTTGATTAAAAGCTCCAGTATTGTCTCCAGTATTAGATGGTGATTTAATTTTTATCCTAATAATGAAGCTACTGCGGCAGGTGGAAGGCTTATTGGTTCCTGAAAAAAAAACAGTGTTCAGAGTCGAATGACTAGTTGGCTGCCAGTCTTTTAGTCTCCATGCACGTGGCTTATAATTATAGGCCCTAGTCGTGGCTTGAAATAAGTCGGACATATCTTACAGCAATATGAGTAACCCATGGTATTTAGTTAACTCGTCGAGTACCGGTTTTATAGACACAATTAAAGAACAATAGGTCGCGGTCACCGGTGACCGCTTGGTGTTTGACAGTTTAATTTAATTCATCATTTTATTTTATAATAGTTAGTACTCAAAAACACGAATCTCAAGGGTGTTAAAAGAAACATTTAACGTTTTCATATAACTCATTGTAATAATAAAAATATTTTCTTTTATTTTGTCGGAACAGTAGCTCTCATCATATTAACTTTAAAATATGAAATGCTCCATACAAACTTCCACTCCCATTTTCCCAAATTGGGGGATTAAAAGGAGATAAAAAGTTTACTTTTTACGTTGTTTTTTCATCCACCCATTCTTTCAACACTTTAAAAACTACACCAATTCCTTGCTTCGTTTGGCCGTAAAAGATGGACAAACAAACAAATACACACACTTTCATGTTTAAAATATTAGTATAGATTTATATGTCATCTGACGTTTTTTGACAAGTGAGTTTACAAAGAAAATATCTTTTTTTAACGCAAGCACGACCAGTGATAGACAAACATGACGTTATCGGAACTGTAGGTCCATTTTAGCACGAAATTTTAAACTTCTCGCATTTTTTTACGATAAAATATATAATTTTAATTTTTTAATATGTCTATGAGCTATTTTATATGAAATTATTTAAAATAAAAACAAAACTAAAAATATTGCATGTTCTCCCTATTGTGTACAGTTTTAAGACAGGAGAGCAAAATAAAAGTTCTATCTTATAACCAGACTTAAAAATATAAAATATAATTCACAACAGATATTACAATAGAAAAAACATCAGCGAACTTCACTGACAACGGAAAAACTACTGAAAAATTATATTTTTTGATTGTACTATATTTCACCGGGACACCATGGCAGCGTTACCCAGTCGCCAGTTGGAGTCCAGTTCGTTACCAACCTGATGGCGCGATCAGTTCGGACGCCAGCACAGAATGTTAATGGTCGCTCATCCACGCTCCGGTCGCGCCACCATTAATTACTATAGCGCTGTATGGTGTGTTACTCAATCAGGCTTGCTGTTTTGACTTTCTTTAAATGTTTATTAGGTAAAAATAATTTAAACAACTTACTTCTCCAGCTTCAATGTGATAACCGTCCTTGTCAGCATTATATATGACGTTGACGACTTCTCCATTAGTATCTATATAAGAATACCATCCATAAACTCTTATGTACTGGTCTTCTTGTCCGGGGTTAATAACTTCGCCAGTTTCTTCACGTGATAAACCATTGGATGTCTCGAATCTGCAAATAATGTAGTTAAGTATAATAAGTTTAAGGAGATGACAAGATAAACACTATTTAAAAATTTATAACACAAAGATTATATTACTTTTGTCTACATAACATAACATCACACCTTTTATCCCCGAAGGGGTTGGCAGAGGTGCACATTACAGCACTTAACACCACTGTACAATGTAACACCCACTTTTCACTATTTATGTTATGAGTCCCATGTACCTAATAGGGAGTAAGCCTATTGCCATATAACGGACACAATTCTAGACTCCGTGCTACTACTGAGCATTTTTAAAAACTCAGTAATACTTTGCCCGACCCGGTATTCGAACCTGAGACCCCTTGCCGGCAGTCGCACTTGCGACCACTCGGCCAACGAGGCAGTCTACATTTCTTAAAAAAAAGAACTATAGGTAAACACGCTTTTACCTATCAATGGCCACATTAAATAAGCCCGAATTCGACATTATGTTTACTAGTAGTAGGTAGCCCAAGGCCCATTAGCCACCTTCTTATTTCTTAGAAGAAATCACATCAGTTCTATAGTATGATAATATTGTATAGCTACCTAGTCTACATACTTTCATTGCAATATAACAATTAGAAGTGTGAATAGTTCATTACAGGTAGGCCTAATGAAAGTGTGAAAAATAAGATTAATAATATACCTGAAGTTATAGTTGCCAGTACCGTCGTTATTACTAACGTAGTTCACTATCTGAGCTTGAGCATCTTCAGGGAGGACGGCTGCCGCAGCAACCGACAAGGCTGCGCACGCGATGATTATCCGATTCATTTTGAATAGTTTTTTTTAACTCGCTAATAACACGAAACTACGGTTTACTATATCTCAAGGTCAAAATATAAACTCAATTTGAATTAAATATAAAATTTTGATATATTCTGATTTTTATGGTTTACAAAATATAAATGACTTCAATCATAAGCCTCCTCGGTATTATATACCTCTATGAAGAAATAATTATTTGATTATGGTTTTTTTTTATAAGTTCAAATTTAATTTTAATTTACGCAAATTTCTTGATCAATGCTGATTGCTTTGAATGTTTTTTTTTAAATAATCGTTTTTTGGCTACGGCTCTAAACTAAGTTATACTAAAACTAAAACAAAATGAATGCCTTCTTTAGTATTTTACTGAAATTTTCAGTTACATGTCGAGTGGCCAGTTATTGAACTGAGTCTTATGCCACCTTTTGGCCACCTTACAGCAAATTAAATAGACTCAATGGTCATTTAAGTAACAAAACAGAAAACAGGTTTTAATATAACTTCATACAAAATTTCATTGACTTAATTAAATTCATTCTTTCAACTCTACCAATCGTACCTATATTTCCCTATACAGGGTGTGAACGCTCCCGAAAAACGCCGACAAAAAGTAGGTTTTACTATTTGAATCGTTTCTGTTTACGTATAATGCATGCAACATTAGCTTGGAGCGGTTGATTACATTATTATACAAAAAAACATCAAATTTCTTTATGAAAAGAATACTTATTTTACACCATCACTGTCCTTTTTCAGGAGCGTTCCGTTTAATCCCTGTGTACCTTATTATTAAAGTTTTTTAAATTATTTCAAAATAAGAGTACGATATTTAATTATTATATTTTTTTTGGCTTACTCACGTACTAACTAACGTACTAACTAACGTACCGCTACAGAGTAGCAGCACGACAGTCGCGGCGTCGCAGCTCGCGGAATGCTGCTCTTGTATATGAGCCTCTATCATGGCTTGAAACTAGTCGAGTTCCTCGTCAAATAATTACGTGAAGAATAAAACAAACATAATTAATTAAATTTAGTATGTCTCACGACAGTTATAACATAATAGGTACTTTGGAATAAATATTTGATAATGGTTTCCAAGATTTATTATTTTTCATTTTGGATGAACATCATTTTATTCTTATCCTAACAATGAAGCTACTGCAGCAGCTGGAAGTGGTGCAGGTAGAATTGGTACCGGGAAAATACCTTCATCCTGAAACAACAGTATCATAGATCATACTTGAGTAGTGTTAGAAAATGTAATTGAATGACAAGGACACGGACAAGAGTCAGGGGAGAAAAAGATATGTAATATAAAAAAAACTTGAGATAGTGAGTGGGCTTTAAATGGACTACACGGTTGGCGCGGTGGCTGGGCAAGTGGCTGCCATGCAACATGTCGCGGGTCCGATTCCCGCATGGAACAACTCTTTGTTGATTGATTGATTTGTCGATTCACAGATTTTTGTTCCGGGTCTAAGTGTCAAATGCATGTGAACTTGTATGTTTGTAAACGCACCCACGACACAGGAGAAAATCCTAGAGTGGGACAACGTTTTAATTCTTAAAAAATATTCGCATTCAGATTTTTTCTCCGCGCTTATAATTATGAGTCCCGTTTTTATCTTGAAAGTAATAGAGCGGTTTCAAATAGTCATGAGTGCACCATACTATTTAATTAATTTAGTTTGCCTTATAGCAGTTATTTATAGTATACTTTTAGTAAATCAAGGTTTAAGTATTGCAGTTCATTTGTGAGACACAGTTTGACCACCAATTGTTTTCTACAGTCTCATTGTTGTTAAAGTGTAATGGAAAGTAATGAATGGTCAAATTCATATTATAGAAAACAACATTCCATAGTAACAGTGTTTTATTCATTTAAAAATTGTATTGTTCCATTTTCAACATTAACAACGTAGTTTCCGATTTACAAAAAAAGTATAGTTTTTAAAATAAATTTAAAGTTAAATTATTACCACGAAGTGCATAAAAGTATTTTGGCAAATTTGATTATGGTGGGACAATTATATCGCATTGCATGAACACAATTTTATTCTTATCCCAATAACGAAGCCACTACAGTATCTGGAAGGCCCACACGATTCTGAAACAAACAAACTCGAGATTATCATAATTCAGACTCAAGTAGTAAGTTGGCTGCGAGTTAGCGCATGCTACCTTTATTTATGAACCCCTACTGTGGTTTGAAACAAATCGATCATTATCGAATTCGTTCTTGACGTGACAATTTTAATAATTCTGCTCCTTTTAACGGACTTATTTTTAGACACCTCCCATTTTTTTATCGGGGTGGAGAATCGTCCTCTGACTACTCGGGCAGCTCGTGTGAAACGAGAGGGAAAGTCAGACTGCTACTGACTGAAAACTCCGTTTCCACTGCTGCGCTTCAAGCCGGAGCCCCACCAACCCGTTAAGTCCTCCGCGGCTCCGCATCGACATTAACCCTTATTGGGCCCCATCTGTTAATACGGGTCTTTGAGTAGTACGCTCGGGTCTGGTTCTGGTCGGGCGGCGAGTCCGCAGGCCCATGCTTAAAGTGTCCGGAGATCGTCTCGTAATCCCCGAATCCCAGAGTGTCCCTCGCGATGGCTGGGCCTTGGGGAGGTTCGTTCCCTCACGCGCCCCGCCTCCTCCTTAGCTAGCATAAAACATCTCTCTTAAGGTCCATATGTGAGTAAACTTTATTTTCACATACAACGCTAATTTGTTTATTTTATTTTTTTATGTGATAAGCCGATTAACGGGCAGACGTACAACCTGATGATAAGCAATCGGCTATACCCATGGACAACCAAAACACCAGAGGCGTTATAAGTACGTTACCGGCATTTTGGGGACTAGGCATTTTAGAACTGTTGGGGATTCAGGAATTGGGTAGATTTGGGAGTAATTGGGCCCCCGATATCCTCACTCCAACGATGAAACACAACGCAAGCGTTGTTTCACGTCTGTTTTCTGTGACGCCGTGGTGTCCCTCGGTCGAAATCAGGTCGTTATTAATTATAAACTTTAGCAAATATTCGTTCAACATCACTAGTAGTGTTGTTATATTTTACGTATAGAAGAGCCGATTACGATAAAGTTTAGCTTATATTGGTACATTTTCTTCAGGTTTCTGATATAATCGAAGATTTGTGATTTATACTTATATAATAACATGTCCTGATTGACTGATTTATCATCGCCAAGCGCAAACGATCAATGCAACAAACTTTGAAATTAGGGTTACTTGAATAAAAAGCTATAACAAAGTGTATACTTACCTTGTTATGTAGCTGTATATTCATAACAACGTAAATACTGAATACTAATAAAAAGGGATTATACACGATGTAAATAGAACGCTCCAGCCCCAAAAACGATGATGGTAAAAAATAAGTTTTATTTTAATAAAAGTAACGACTTAAATATTGCTTTTATTTAATAATATTTCTTTTATTTAAAAAAAATAAACACATATTTTACTTAATAAGGGATGCAATAGGGCCTGAAAGTTTGTTTGTTGTACCTATATTAAATCAACTTTCACAGAAGCAAAGTCGCGGCAAACTGCTAAGATTCGTATAAAATCACAAGTAAAATTATTTGAGCATTATTTCTTAAATTCAGATTTTATTTAAAACATTTAATATTTTGATATTATACATTTTAATTTCATTTGATAAGAAAACATTTTAGTTTTATTTTCCAAGAAGACTAGCTGTTTTTGCAATATTGTCTTCTGGTAAAGGAATTATATTATCCTCCTGAAATGAATGAAAAGTTGGTAGTTAACAAGTTACTCCAGAATATAATTGAGAAGAGAAAACAGTTATTTCTAAGGCAAAATTATATTAATTTTATGGTGGCTGCGCGGGTACTATCGGCAAAGTTTACGGTAATACACTTTTTGAACAAAATCCTTTGGAAACCTCGCTATTCACCGACGTTTTCCCTGTCGTTTGCGCCGAGTGCAGGCAAATATCGCCTAATGATGGATGCACCAACTTTGTCGATTATATTTAAATATACCTTTTCACAGTTTAATAGTGAAACCATGATGACGATAGAGAGTCATCTTATCAATTATTATAAAGTCAAAATCAACAGCAATTAACATACTTATTATTTGAGAATAATAAAAGTAAACTTACTTCATTAAAGTGATAACCATCTTTGTCAGCACTATATTTGATGTTGACGACTTCTCCATTAGTATCTATATAAGAGTATAATCCTTGAACGTTTATGTATTGGTCTTCTTGTCCCGGGTTGACCACAGTGCCACTTTCTTCACGTATCAAGCCATTGGATGTTTGGAATCTGTGAAATGTATTAGGTAGGTACTTACTATTGTAAGGGATTGACTTAATATTAGGGATTGAAAACAAGCTATATTATTTAAACTGTCAAACACCAAGCGGTCACCGGTGACCGCAACCTATTGTTCTTTAATTGTGTCTATAAATACGGTACTCGACGAGTTAATATGTAACTCATATAGTCGTCATTACACCTCACCTGAAGTTATAGTTGCCAGTACCGTCATTGTTGTTAACGTAGTCCACTATCTGAGCTTGAGCATCCTCAGGGAGGACGGCTGCCGCAGCAACCGACAAAACTGCGCACGCAATTATTATCCGACTCATTTTGAATTAACTCACTAATAACACGGCACTAGGCTTATTATATACCACAAAGTCAGAATAAAAACTCAATTTAAAATAACAAAAAAAAATCCGATATGTTTTGATTTTTATGCTCGCATACAAACTATAAATGACTTAAATCATAAGCCTCCTCTGTATTATATACCTGTCTAAAGAAATAATGACAGCTACGAAATATAATTAAGCTTAGTTTTTTTATAAGTTCAAATATTACACACATATTTGTATTATATTTCTTGATCAATAAGCACTTTTGAATTACTGTTTGGTTTCTTGATGACTATACCATGAACGTAACAATATGCTCAATGCTCATACCTAAGGTCGATTTTATTATGGAAATGTTTCGCAAATAACCTTAAATTAAACATAATAATAAAATGATTCAAATTTTCCCTCTGGAACCCTGATCACAGCTAGCTGGGATTTGTCACGTTACTGGTAGGCTATTGCTTTTTGTATTTTTGCTTTTTGTTTTTTTTTTATAATAAAATATTTAAAAATATTATAATCAGATCAATTCAGATTAAATGATGAAACGAAGCTGGCAGAATTCATGTATTTTTCTCAAATAAAATAGTGCTTCATATTAAAATATTAAAAATAAGTCAAAACTCTTATGACTTAGAAAACATAATAAATATATTTCAATTTTCCTCCGAACGATGTCTAGAATCAAAATATTTCATTTGGTGATTCTTGTTTCGTTATCGATATCACTGCTATTTATATAAAGGCATCTCTACATATTCGACTTGTTATTGGTAATAATAATTTATCGTAATCTAATAACTCATACGACGACGTAAAAAATGGTGTCTAACATTATTAATCACAAAAAAATAGCAACATGATTTAAGATCCAAATAAAAACACTTCCCACCTTCGAAGAGCACACATATCAATATTTGAAGTCTTCGCACAACGATATCTTAAAATTTATCGAGGTTAAAATAATTTGAACGAGGAAGGCACTTAAATTAAAAAAAAAATAAAAAAGATCAAATGTGGATTCGCCTTTACAACAAAAAATATATTAGATGAGCAATACTGTTCAAAGTGCACCTGTCACTGTTTATTGAAATTTAACTCAATGTGACCTCGTAACTGCAGGAAGAACGCAGTACTTATATTTTAATGAGGTCAACAAAGAGATTACATAGCATTTCAGTTTGTCACATCATCTAAGGAGTAGAAGAATTAACCTTTTTAGCTTGTTACAGTATTATTAGTCCTCTTATAATGTACGCCATAAGTGGTGACAATTTAAAACTTATTATTATGTTTTCGGCATACTGACATAATTATTTGACGAGGAACTCTACTAGTTTCAAGCCATACTAGAGGCTCATATTCATGAGCAGTATTTCGCGACCCGCGACTAGAGTAGAGTAGAAGCGCGACAGTCGCCGCATTGCGAAAACATAATAATACCTCTATTTAGTATGTCTCACGAAAGTTATAATACAATTTAAAACTTCGTCTGATGTTTTAGAATTCAATTTACTTTAACATGGTAAAATGCCTAAAAACCTTTCGTATTTTCATTTGGCTGAGGCTGTCAAAGCAGTAGCCAAAAGCCAAAACAGATAACAAATTAACACGCTCATAAAAAACAGCTACTCAAAACGTATTAGAGTCACAAATACGTTACATAAGTATCATCTAAAGTTCAGGTGTCATTGTTTAGCGTGATGTCCAACAATTGATTTATGATGTGTCGCATAATAATGATGAAACCGTGTCTCCTATTGTCGGGTTTAGTTCGGCAAAGATTTCAATAGTTATGTAAGTTGACAGATGGGATGTCGGACCAAAGGTAACTGGCCCACCGTGAATACGTCCCATGATTAGATTACGCGCCGGTATTGCACACGCCTCGGCTTGTAAAGGGTATCAATTATATTATATGTACGATAATTTGTACTGTCTACATATTTTCTAATTTTCGATACTCTGCCTGCAATGTCATTATGTTTTTGTGTTGATACTGAGTACATAGGTTATTCACACTATAATATTATGATTGCGATTGGGAACAAATAATTGTCGTCTCTAGGCTTTTCGAATTTGCAATGTAATTTGTCATTATGACTGTGATTTTAGAGAGAATTTTGAAATTACATTTCGCTAATAATGTTTCTGAAAAAGTTATATAATTTTATATGTTGGTGGTTTGTGCACCTCATGACATTTTACTAAAAATATACCTAAACATTTTGGTCTATCTATGTTATTTTTACAAGTAAGAAGTGACATGTAAAAAAAATAATGAAAAAACGTCTAAATAAAATTTTCTCTTTTCATTTAAACTGTATAATAAGTATCTTAATACTAAAGGTAATTTTAAAAAAACACATAAGTAATTTATATTTTGTACCTATTTCAATCAATGAAAGTTCATCATCGTACCTACAATATTCATAGACCGGTATCATTTTATTTGCTTCCATCTATCGGCTCGACAGTGAAGTAGCGTCAGCCTTGATCATTCAACGGTGTACATTCTCTTTGTTTATCGATTTTAAAGATGTTACAATATCTTATACGGCCTTTATTTTGTAGCTAGTATTACTGACTTCGTGTAGATGGCGTTGATTTTTAAATTTAAATACACATTTTTAAAACGTTTTTAATAACTTTGTATAAATATTGAATTTTCTAACAAAAAATTTTTCGTTCTCGAAAATGTTTGCGTTTTTACCTATGTCGTCAACTTATAGAGGTACTCTGTTGGACATAAGCCTATTTCATACTGTGGTTCAATATTTTTTTAATTGAAAAGGTGGACTATATCTCTATTTTAGGTTTAAATTCATATTAGCTTGATATAAGCCATGGACGTAAAAACTTGTCATTCTCCCTATCTTTATAAAAAAAATGGCCACAGATATGTATCTATGGTCACGTAATTGAATAGAGATAAGAACGTATCACATAACAAGGTGAACTAATAATGTAATAGCGCAAAATTCAATTAAATCATAAAAAGTTAAACTATTTTCCCATCTCAATAGTCGATAATTTCAAGAATTATCACATTTTCATATTCGTTGACTATATAGTATTAAATTCAAAGCATTATGGCAACTATTAAGGTCAACTCACTCTTAGCCGCCATGGCTCCGAACACGGTTCCAACACGGTTCCAACCCAGCAACTACTTGTCATTTCAATATGAACTTTAAATCGTATGTCCTATGGTACATCTTATATTAAATTCAAAGCAAAAACGAGCTGCCGGAGTCGGAGCATTACCTACCTTTAATAAAATTACTTCTTCATGGGACCATCATTGTTTAATGGGACCATTACTTATATTCATAAGTAATGGTCCCATTAAACAAATAAGCCTATAATTGTGTAGTTCAAAGGGTATAAATATCTTAAACTGTCTAATTTTGATGTTAATAAGGTCGACCATTATTCAAATTATCTTACTTGATACCGATCTTGTAACCTTTAAGTAATGCTCATAGAAGATCAGTTTTAACTAAAATAACTTGTTACGCATGTACTATGAATAGAATAAGTAGATAGCGTAGGAGGTTTTACGTAGTTTTAGAATTTGCATTGCATATTTTACTTATATTTTATAGGTTTAAATGACAAAAAAAATAAACGTACAAAGACCAGTCGTAGAACCAACATTTTGAAGACAATCATCATATGGAACAATTAATCAATACTGTATTGGTGAAGACGTTAAAGTATGGTAGCCGATGATAACTGTTAAGTTCAGAAAAATATTTATCTAATAGGTAAACACATACTATAGCAGTATAGCATTGACTAGATGCAGATCTAGTTATATGTGATTATGAAGTTTGAAAAGAAATGGCAGGTCAAGAAACGAGATGAATTTCTGGTAAGGAAAAATACAAAAAATACAAATACAATTGATGATTGAAGTAGCAATTTCTGAGTGCACTAATATATCAGCTAATCGGGGGAAAGGGCGGAACATTGTGAGACGGGCTACAGGAATTGATTCGGACTCATCATGTTAACAACGAACGACCGACGACGTAAAACAAGAATAAGCAATTACTCAAATTAATGCAACAACGGTTTTATCTCAATGAGCGCTTTGTTATACGGCCTAGGCACTAATGAGGTCCGGTTTATAGACAAATGATCGGTTCTTATGTAAACTTAAAGCTAAATATATTAGATAACTAGAAGTGTATTAAAAGCCTGTCAAAATACGAATAATTCATTGGTCAACTACATGTAAGTACAGTCAAGATGACATATTGATATATTTGTTAGGGTGATGTATGACCAACATTGTAGTCATGTTAATTTAAACCTGTTTGAACATGTATGTGTGTTATGACATGGACTTGCTTTCTCAATATTCCTGAACCTTCCTTGGCTTTAGAAATACTCGGGTGAGGTATTAGATTATTATCTAGGTATAGTACTGCATATAATAAATGTTGCCATTTTCCCTGTATTATCATAAAGATCGCTTTTAATATTCCAATGGTTTATCTAACATTAGGTTTTGAAATAACACAGATGGAAGTTTTGTAGATTCCCTTTTTCCCTATTTGTGCTTGGGATAAATAAATTGCTTAGGTATTTTAAAGATAGGTAAAATGTATAATGATTTAGTAATAGTCAACTTACGTTGAGAAATTTAGTCAGCTGAGCGGGCTTTAGAAGCTTTTAGGATATAACAAAAATATGCTCGTAGCATATTTTAAAAATGTAAGTATTGCATCATATTCAGTAAAATTGTACTAAAATATTTTTGTAATTATATTAATAGAAATTTATTTATCTGTCTTAATATTATGAGCTAAGCGTAATAATTATTCAATTCAAATGCGACAGGTTCGTTAACTTTGTAGTGTACATCACCAAAGGCGTGATCAAATCGACACAATGACCCATGTAGTAACATAGTAATTTAATTTAATAATACTAGCTAGGCGCAACTTAGCTACTTCTTACTAAAATTGAAGTATTGG